GCAGGTTCTTTTGTTAAGATGGCCATTTTCACAATCCATGAGCATGGAGGTCTTCCCACTTACCAGGGTCTTCCTCAATTTCCTTTTTTCGTGTTTTCAGGTTTCCCCACAGAGGTCACTCTCTACACTGGTTAGGTTTGTTGTTGTTTGTTTTGAGGCTAGTGTGAAAAGAGTTGTTTCCTTCTCAGTATGTTATAAAGGAAAAGCTATTTTTTAAAAAAATATTAATTTTGTATCTTGAGACCTCTGCTCAGTGTCTATCAGCTCTAAGAGTTTTCTGGTAGAGTCTTCAAAGATTCTTATCTGCAGCTCCACACACAAGGCACAGAAGAGGGAACCCAAACTAACAAGGCTGAGGAGCATGTGCCAGTATGAAATGTGACGAAGGCATAAAAATTAATGAAACTATTTTCCACATATTCTTCAGACTCAGTTCTTCATCTCCCCTCCTTAACTTTTCTAATGTCCAACTACTTTCTTTGTGCAACTCATTCTTTATATTTAAAATAAATCCTCTGAACACTAGCCAAATCTTGCATCATAGTTGTGGGGTTATTGTTTCAAGTGCACATAAAGAAAGGCTGAACATTTTAACAACACCACTGAGAACCTGTAACAGTTTAGATGCATAGTAAAGAAAAATATATACATGCCTGTTTATCATTGTTCTTTGCTTCATAGTTAGCATTTCTGAAATAAGGACAACATCCAGCTTAGGTATATATTGCACTGTTCTCTTGAAAGTTGCTAAAAATACATAGAAAGCACTCTGCCCTCCACACTCTCCAAAACTAGTACGTGAGGTAGCAGGTGTGCTGAGTTGATTGTAATAATCATTTCTACATGTAAATCATATATCAAATTCCACACTGCGTGTCTTTAATATACAGAATTTCTGCCAATTGTACTCATTTAATTTAGCCTGAAAGAAGAATTCCTAGTTGGGGAAATGCCAACCCTCCCCCAAGTGAACATAAGCAATATACGCTCATCAAAAATCCCAAAGTGAATCTGGCCTTTAAAACTTAATAAATTCTAAAGCTCAACTGGGAGAGAAATGTGTAAGATTATCCCTATGACATTCTTCAGAGATGAGTAACTTGGCAGAGACAATCTACGATGCATTAAAATGGACAACAATCAATAAATACATCAATGGAACTGGAACAGAAAGGAGTCCAAAACAAAAGCAAGTAGCAAGTGTGGCTGCCTCCACAAGACCTGTATAATATCAAGCCTGTAACACTGCAGCCTGGGTGAGAAGGAGGCTCACAGGATTTCACCCCCAGCGAGAACGACCGGCATTGGCTGCTGGTGGAGGAAACATCAGTTTCCTTTGGGGTGCACTTCCTGAGGTACCCATGATCCAGCGGACGGCCCTATACTTATGTGCATATGGGCAGTTCTAATTGGACTCAATAGGTTATAAAGAAAAAAAAAAGGACTTGAAGTTGGGAGAGGGACATGGGGAGATCTGGGAGAAGTTGGTTGGGAGGTGGATGAGATAAAAATATATTTTATATGTATATGATGTTCTCAAAGAACAGATAAATAAAATAAAAAAAAATCTTAAAGCCTAAATCCTTCCCCATTAATAAAGTTAAAGACAAATGACAAATGAATATAATTATGTACAAAATATAAGGATAATATATGATGAGCTTTTATAAAACAGCCCTATATAACAGCCATGTACAAAAATCCAATAGAAAATGGATCAGACATGAGTATAAAAGTTAAAACTATGAAGCTACTAGAAGAAAACATAGAAACACTTCAGAACACTGTTGTGAGTAAAGATATCTGAGGGAAGGACCAAAAGTGCTGGCAACGAAAGCAAAAACCAATCCAAGGGGTAACAGCCAAGAAATAACAGAACGATGGCAACCCACAGACTGTACAAAACGCAAGCAACTCAACAGCAACATAATAACGACAATTATCCAATTAAAAAATGACATGAACAGACAAAATGTTCAGGAAATGTAAGAAAAACTGCTCAACAGCATTAACTGTCAGAAAGTCACAACCACAGCTAGAAGAGTTATTATGAAACAGCAACAGCAAGAACAAGAGACCAGCAAAGATGTGGGGAAACATTCTTGGTGTGAATATAAATTAAATTAGTACAAATTAGTCTAGCTATCAGAGAAGACAGCACAGAATTCTTTACAATTCTAGAAACAGAGTTGATATAAACCTGCATTCCCATTACAGGATATAGTACAGAGGAAATCAGAATGTTGAAGAAATGCACTCCTGTGTTGATTGTAGCACTGGTCAAAATAGCCAAGATATGGAATTAAGCCTGGAGATCTACTAAAAGATTAGTGAAGAAAATGTAATATACATAATGGAATGTTATTTGGCCATTAAAAATGAACTTCCCTCATTCACAACAAAACAGAAGAAACAGCAAGGAAATCATGTTAAATGAATTAAGTCCGATACACAAATACAAATACCATATATTTTTTTTGCTCATAATGTGGAAGTTAAAAAGTTTAGTCATAGCGGTTCGTGTCTATAATCTCAGCACTTGGGGGGGCGGAGGCAGATCTTGAGTTTAAAGCCAGCCTGGGAGAGCTCCAAGCCAGCTAGACCCTGTGCTAAAACAAACAACAACATCATTTATTTCATAAAGACAGAGGCTAGAAGAGTGGTCGGCAGAGGCTGGTAAAGAGGTGAGAACGGTGTCAGAGGGCTCGGGGAGAGGCTGGTGAGGCTGTGACAATGGTGATGGGTCATGGAGAAGGGACAGTTATGATGATACAGAGGAGGTGTGAACAGACAGGAGTGATTAATGTTCTAACACACAGCACAGTAACTACAGGCGTCATTACTAGTTGTATGTTCCAGTGTTGCTAGTAGAGAGGATTTTTACTGTTCCCAACAGGAAGAAATGATAACCGTCCGAGGTGATGGGTATGCCAGTCACCCCAGTCTGATGGTGACACACTCATACGTGTACTGAAATGCTGTCATTTATGAATATGTATCCCCAGACACCAGTAAAATATTACGACTGTGATGACGGCACCTTTACCTGCTGAGCCTTCTCACTGGTCCAGAAGGACTGATTTTAAGTTAAAGTGCAATTGTAAAAAAACATTGTGGATTATAAGGAAAATGCTATTTAAATTAGATCTTTGAAGCTTACTAGGACTATTGTTGAAACTAATTAGAAGAAGCCAAGAGTGGAAGCAGGAAGGAAGTCTGTTAGCAGACCGGTGCCATGGCCCAGGCTGAGACAGTGGTCTGGACCAGGACAGTGGCAGTGGCACAGAGATGTGCTTCTCTACTCTACATTCCCCGTTTCTCTCTCCAAATCTGTTGTCCTTCACAGCTAAGCTCGCTAAAACGACTAACTTCACTGTCCATTTTCCAGTTCCTCTAACACCCTACAGACACACTTCTGGCCACTATGCCACTGAAACAATGCAAAGGTCCCAGCCACATCCATCTTCCCCAAGCCACTGGGCACTTTCTTAGTCCTACCTGGCCTCTGCTGGCTACCCTTTACCTTCATCAAATCCTCTTCTCCACTTCTGAAAGATCTCCATCACCTTGTGTTCCTCTCTCTGCTTCTCAATCAATTCCCTGCTTCCTGACTCTCCTCCCCAGTACACTACTGGTCTTCAACAAGTTCTGTAAACGGGATCAAGTGCAAATCTGACATCTTCACTCCTCTGATGGAGCGCCCTTGCTGGTATTATAGCCTCATCTCTCACACCCTCCTCTCCAGTCATTCAGCTTTTTGGGGTTCTTTAAACACCAGAGCTGTTCAGATAGACCTGCTTCCTCTTCCCATGCTTTCTCTCACTCTTCTATCTTCTACTTCACAGGGAGGCCTGCACATCATTACTTTAAAGAAGTGCCTCATAGGGGCTGGAGAGATGGCTCAGGGGTTAAAGGCACTTGCTGCTCTCCCAGAGAATGAGTTTGGTTCCCAGCACCCACTTCAGGTGGCTTACAGGCACATGTAATCCCAGCTCCAGGGGGCCTGACACCCTCACTCACGTGCAGACATACAGGCAGATGTTACCAGTGAATCATAGGTCTTACAGGACAGACACTGCCAACCTTAAGTGGCATGTAGCACCAATGATTGGTACAGACTATTCATTCGTAATTTGATATATTTCAAACATTATTCTTCAAACAGACCCAAGCTGGCCTTGAACATGAGGCTGAATCTTCCTAGTGTCCTGTGATAGCTTCTAATTTCTGAAAGGGAGAGTTTTGGTTTTGTTTTGTTTTGGTTTTTACTGTTGTTATTACTGGGTTTTATATTACCATTCTGCAACAGCAGAGAGTAACAACACTATGCTACAAAGCAAAATGTGTTTCATATCAAAAACAAGAAAGGAGCACAAGACATACTCTTTCAAAAGGAGAAACGAAGGAACATATAACAAATCCTAAAGAAATACACAGCATCTAATAACCCAGGCCTGGGGTTTATTGCGCTGAAGTGTTTGATGGTAATAATAGGCAGAAGGCTTCTGTCCTCAATAAACGCCAATTAACTTTTCTTGGCCATGTCGCTGTAATTTTAGTTCCTACCGTGGACCCTTCTTCACTCCCTAAGTGGCTACTTTCCTTATTTGGGAGTTTACCCTCCACCTTAAAAAGCCCCTCACTTGCCAATCAGCCATTTATTCCGTAAATATGAAGGACAGGCGATGGGAGAACAGAGAGGGTGGGGAGGCTAAACACTTTGGGAAGGGGTGGAGCAAAGGCCACAGTCCCAGGGATGGAGAAGGGTGGAAGTTGGGGACAAGCACGGGGTGGAGGGCTGGAATCCGGCAGGGACTGGGGGCGCAGGATGCGCTCCCGGAGCAGGTGGTGTGCAGAGAGGAAGGAGGCACGAAGCTGGAACTGGGGAGGAGGGGGTGGGGAGGGGTGACGGGCAGGCGACAGGGCGCTAGACGCAGAAGGCTGGGGAGACGCCGCGGGGAGGCTCTCCGCCGCGTCCCGGTCGCCCGCCGGACACTCACTCGGGTCCCTCCTCAGGGCGCCGGGGGTCTCCTCCCGCAGCTGAGGGAACAGGAAGTCGCGCGCGGACTGCAGGTCCTGGAAGGAGCAGAACTGGACGATGGAGCAGGCCATGGCTGGAGGGACCCCGCTCCGAGCGGGGACCTCGTTCCCTAGCCACGCCCCGGCCCACTCTACCCTGCGGCGGCTGACAGCACGGAGCCCCGAAAGCTTCAGCCACCCGGGGGGCGGGGACGCCAAGGCCGGAAGCTGTCAGCGCGCGCCGGGGGGCGGGCCTGGGTGCTGCGCAGGCGCAAGCCGCGCCGGGGCCCGCGCAGGCGCGGGACGTTCCCCGGCCCCGAGGGAAGGTACGGCTTGGGACGTGTGACTCGGAGTCGGTCGTGCGGCTGCGAGTCCGACGTGGCGACTGCTTAGGTCCCCGCCTTGCGCCAGCCTGTCAGTCTGGCCTTGCTCCAGAGGTGATCTAATTGGACTTTGCGTGGGCCTTTGAGTCACCCAAGCAATCTTGTTGTGCTTCTGCGGACACGACCTAGATAGTTCACAGATGAGGCGGTTTACGTTTTGGCAGGTTACCCGGGAAAGTATAGATGTCTTTGAGAATTTCGTGATTGTCTTTTATTATGGAAGGCTATCCTCAGCATGCAATATACACTTGTACAAAAAAAAAAAAGTACTCCTCGCTCATGCTTCTAATTAATCCTCCTTCGTGTGCTCAGAAGGCTGAGGCAGGTGGATTTCCGGGGGTTCAAGACTGTGTCTCAATAACAAGGCTCTGGAAAGCAGCTCCATAAGGGCTCGTATTAAAAACTGCTATAGATTGCCACGGTACTGCGAAAGCCTAATGTATTAATACGAGGTGCGCTGTATTAGATGATTTTTTATTAGTTCATTCAACTGCTCAATAAATATTTGTTAGTGTTTTCTGTGTCAGCTACACACTCTAGGCGCTGAGCTTCGGGGGGGTGGGGGGGAGGACATGTTCCCACGGAACTAAGAAGCTAGTGACTGACCCAGACCAAGTCAAACAGTTGCTCAGCTAACTAAAATTGGGACAGTGCTAGGTGGGAAAGATGTAGAAAACACCACGACAGAACGTAACAGGGTGAGGCTGGCCTGGTTACTTTCCCTTTGAGTTTTGGACTAGGAAAGCGCCATCCTTATAGATTCCTGGAGGACTGGGATCCGTTTAACCCCTTATGTACCAGGTCTCGAGCATGGGATCCACCAGAGTTGACTCCTTAGTGCACATTTGCTGACATGTGTACACATAAATGAAATAGACCAACCCGATTCTTTCACGTGGGTTTAAAAGTACTTTTCCAGGTGTTACCTAACTGGATGGCCACAAATGCATCTTCAAAGAGGTGTTTTTTGTTTGTTTGTTTGTTTTTTGGTTTGTTTTTTGGGTTTTGTTTTGTTTTGTTTTGTTTTATTTTTTTGTTTGTTTTTTTTTTTGTCTGAGATATGTTCAAGCTATGTAGTCCAGGTTAGCCTCAAACCTTCAGTTTCCCTCAATGTCCAATCTCTTCGATTACATGTGTGTACTACACCATGCCTGTTTTAGAAAGTATGTCTTATCCTAATTTTTTAAGTAAAGAAATTGCTCTAAATGGCTCTGAGAAGGCTCTGGAAACCCATTTAAGTTATTTTCTAAGGTATATAAAAGAAGAAAGGTTATTATGTAGGTGTTAGCACTAAGGCCTGTAGCCACTCATTTCCCAAAGGACACCTAGGTGCAATCTGCTTTTTATGAGGCAGACAGTATTTCAGGAATCATTTTAAGACACAGAGAGGGCATGGAGCATTGGTGCCTGTCAGTCCTACCATACACACTCAGTCCCAACAATGATGCAGTTGTAACTGAGTGTCCTGGTTCTTACTCTTAATTCCTGGTCCTGAACTGGAACAGCTTTTACAAAATAAGACAATTTCTGTATTACCAGGACACAGACATTAGTTTTTCCCCTCTAAGATACATGTTAAGTAGGTGTACTATAAGGTCATTTCCAGTGTCAGGGACCTACAATTCTATAATCACAAACAGTAGGAAAGGCAGTTATCTGCCAGAGTAGTCCTGTCAGGGATCATCTTTTAAAAGAATGTTGTGCCAAAGAGGTGGCTGAGCAGTTAAGAGTACTTGATGCTCTTGCAGAGGACTTGGGTTGGATTGCCAGCACTCCTGTGGTGGCTTACAACCCTCTGTAACTCCAGTTCTAGGGGGACCCCCACACCCTCTGCTGAGCTCTTTGGGGATCAGACATGTATGTGGTATACATGCATACATTTGGATAAAACACTCATACACACAGAATAAAAATAAACAAATCGTTCTTTTCGAAAGCTTGCCTTGCTTCCTCAGAACCCCACTCAGTCGACGTTCTGATAATAATCCGGTTCTGATACGGTACCTCCCCCCAAAAAAAAACAAAAACAAAAAAAGCTATGCCAAACTAAAATATAATTTAAATTTGGATCTGTAGCTTTACTGAGAATGCAGAACATATGACACTTCATGGAAAAGTACAATGCCATGGTTTGAAAAGCATTCAGGTTCTTTGGGCAAATGCGTTTCATGGAAGTAGCTGCGCCTGGCTGCTCCAGCTGCGCCTGGCTGCTCCAGCTGGCTGGCTTCCGTCCTGTCCGGAGGCTTTCATACAGCTCCTCTGTGGCACTCACTGAATTTCATTACCTCGTTGGCTCCGTCTCAGAGTGAAGTTCTCTGACTCCTTTCCAAGTGCTGTTGAAAAGCTCCATTCATGACCGTTTTGAGGAACTTCAGAAACCCTTCACAGGAATTACAACAGGCTCCGGCGCGGAGCGCTTTCCTGCCTGCCGTCCTGCCGCCTTGGTTTCTGTGGAGTGCCGGGGGACTGGGACCGTGTCAGAGAATGCCACTGACCACACAGTGTCGAGAAAGTGTGCTGTGGGAAATGGCAGGTCTTAGACAGACCCGTATAGACGGGTCTGAGACTGAGAGGCAGAAAAACAAAACAACAACAAGCAGTCCTGTGACTCACTTCACGACAGGCTGATGGCAGGGACTCCCGTGACCATTCTCCAATGTCCGTCACCAGAAGTCGCAGCACCAATGGCTGTAGTTAGGACAGAGAGGGCTAATGAAGCTGGTTAACAGCAGCTCTTTACCAGTCCTTGGTGGCAGCCTGAGGACAAAGGGCTCAAGCTGCAGGATTTGAAGCAAAGCGAGTTAGAAGAGCAATGGACTTGGCACAAGGAGACCTGGGGTCTGTCTGTCTTCTGTGCTTAGTTAGTTGTATGAACAAGGCAATACTCAATGCCTTTCTGGGCCCTCTTTTCTTCCTTTCTCTTTTTAGTTCTATGTGTATGAGGTTTTTGCCTGCATGTATGTAAGTGCTCTGTATGCATATGGTGCTCAGGGAGGCCAGAAGAAGGCATCAGATCTCCTGGAACAGAAGTTACAGGTGGTTGTTAGCTACCTTATGGGAGCTGGAACTGAACCCTGTCCATAAGAGCAGGAAGTACTCCTAATCACTGTGCCATCTCTCCAGCCTCAGGGGACTTATTTTCTTGATCTGTAAAATCAAGGGGCTGAGATCTTGGGCCCATCCCAGAAATGTGTAGGTTTAGAGAAGAGACCAGGGAGTCAAAGCTGCCCCGCAGCTACCCCAGCAAGAGGACAGTTGGTTGTATTCCTGACTCTTCTGTTGCCGTGGTAAAATGCCATGACCAGGAGCAATTTAAGGGAGGGTCCACAATGATGGGGGGGAGGCATGGCAACAGGCAGACAGAGTAGAAAGCCGAGAGACTGCATCTTCAACCATAAATGATAAATGTGAAGCAGAAAGTGAAGAAGTGAGGCTGTAAATCCTCAAAGCTCACTCTCAGTGACAAACTTCTTCCAGCTAGGCTTTGCCTCCTAAATGTTCCATCACCTCCCCAAACAGCACCACCAGCTGGAGAGTAAGTGTTCGAATACCACAGACTATCGGGGACTTTTTTTTTTTTTTTTTTTTTTTTTCAGTTTTTCGAGACAAGGTTTCTCCGTGTAGTTTTGGTACCTGTCCTGGATCTCGCTCTGTAGACCAGGCTGGCCTCGAACTCACAGAGATCCGCCTGGCTCTGCCTCCCGAGTGCTGGGATTAAAGGCGTGTGCCACCACCGCCCAGCTATCGGGACATTTTAATTCCAACCACCAAAGGTGGCTCACAAGAAGCATGATGGACACGGGGACTCTGGGCATCCCAAGGTAAAAGAAAGTGACAGGAGCCTTACCTCCTGACTTTGCTGAGGGACATTTTTGAAGACTGTGAACAGAAGCAAGGATTTTCAAAAACATCTTTTGATTCTGCTAACATCCGTGGATGGCATGTTACCCTGTAAGTGCAGCAGTGATCGCAGGGAAAGAAAACAAGCTCTGCCGGGACTCCATTTCTGAAAACAGATGGACACCAATAGCTCTGATGAGAAGCAGAGTGCGGTGGGTGCCTTCCCGCGGTGGCCAAGCTTGGTTGTCAACTTGTCATCTCTAGAAAGAGGGAGTCTCAACTGAGGAATGGCCCCTGACAGATTGCCCTGTGGGCATGTCTGTGGAGCATTTTCTTGGTTGCTAATTGATGTACAAGGGCCCAGACCACTGTGGGTGGTACCACATCCCTTGGCAGGTGGGGCTGGGCTGCGAAGGTAACTTAGCTGGCCAAGCCAGAGGAAGCGGACCAGGAAGCATCATTTTCCCCTGGTTTCTCCTTCAGTTTTTGCCTCAATTTCAAGTTCTTAACTTGGCTTCCTCTCAATGATGGATTATTGTTTCCGGGTATTTGACTATACTGTGAACCCCAAGATTGCATTATTTAAATAAAACCAACCATAGGTCAAGAGGTGGAGGAAGCAACCAGTTTCCTGGAAGTAACCAAAGAGAGTGAGGGGAAGCTGGGAGGTCAGAGAAAGAGAGGCACAGGAAGCAGAAGGGAGGGACATCCGGTTGGAGGGTTTTGTTTGTTTGTTTGTTTGTTTCAGACTGGACCAGAAAAGTCTTTTTCTAAGATGATGGCAGTAGAGGAAGTTCATCTGGCTGCTTTCTCTACCTCTCTGAACTAGTAGGTTTTCACCCCAGCATCTGGGTGATGGCTCCCGAGTCTTTATTGGTAAAATAAAAAGATGCTTAGTTAAAACAACATTTGCCTCCCAACATGGAGGTGGCTGAGGTGGCAGACTTGAAGGCTCCCCCCAGGCTGCAGTCTCGGCAGCAAGGAGGAGGCAGCAGCAGC